TTAGATTTTTTTCTAAAGCCGATTAATTGCCTAGATTTGATTTATTGCCCAGCCCTAATTCGGATGCATATAGACTGTTTGATATAATCTTGTTGGCGGTAATACCAGTATAATGTGTACGTTTGAAACTGAAATACAGCGATAGCATTTGTGTGTTTGCACTGGTGATGTTTCCATTTGGTTTGAGTGTGCGCATGTGCATCCCCATCGGTAATCTTTTATCGAGAGCTCTTTGGCTCGATGAAGCCCAATAGGGAAGTGCTTATGGTGAGGTTTTGCTTGCTGTGGCAGGACGTGTGTTGACTTACATTGCGTCAACACAAGTTGTCATCCTGGTCTATATGATGTGATATTGTCTTTGTAAATCCAGAAATGAGCCTGATGAGGATGTCTTCCCCTGTCGCTCCGAATAGCTTATGCTCAAGTCAGCGCCTTCTGCATTAAGGCTAACTGATGACCTCACACTCGCTCTGTTCTCTCATAATATACGCTCTATGATAACTAGCCATCTCTATGATTTTCTCCATATTCAATGACCTTTCAGGATCTAAACAACTATCCCATTATCAACAGCCAGAGTACTTCTTCATTCTGTCTTTTTTTGATGTTTACAGAATAACCACAGCAGCTCGCGGAGTTGAAATGGACCTGACTGCTCTGAGGTCCTGCTCTGGGCGCTGACCGCGTGTCACCGTCATGGCGGAGGTGGGGCAGAACGGTGGCACTACCCCTGACGATCAGGGGGACGGCGACGGCAGCAGGCTGGTGAACGGAGACTGTAGCGGAGAGAGCTCTGCCGACGGAGACGCCAAAGCCGAGCTGCCGAGACGGAGCAGCATCATCAAGGTAGAACCGTCACGGAACAGGACTGTAGTCTACAAAGAGAGACTCAACAAGTGTAGCAGCAGTGTCATACAATAATGATTGCTCCACCAGCCCTTCTCTTCTTTGCTTTGCTCTGCTTTGCTCTGCTTTACTCTGCTCTACTCTGCTCTACTATGGGGTAGGGTAAGGTAAGGTAGAGTAAACTAGGCTTTTAAAATAGTAGCAGGCTGTAATCGGCAATGGGATCGTAAAGAGTCTGAAATAAGATTTAGATTCAGATTCAGATTCATTTATTTCGCCATTTGCAGTAACACTACATTGGAATACATTTGTAAAAGTTCCCAGTGTGCACAGGACAAGTACAGACACAAAACAACATTAAAAGACAAAAATAAAACAAATTTTAAGAGCAAAAAGTAGGACTCAAAAAAAGGTAGGCAGGTCTTGAACAGGTATAACCACAGATGGAGAGAGTAAATAGCTCTGGGTAAAGTACACAAGTCTAATTGAGTGCAAAGTGGAACTACTGCTGACAAACAATATAATATAACTTTAACTTCAACTTCGTACCATAGGCTGTCTATAGATGCTATGTGCTAATGCTAAACCGCAATTGATGAAGTTTGGCTTTCGCTCCTATGACTTACAATGAAAAGTAAACTTCTCTAGCTCACCAATTTTGGCTCAATAATCTGTGGGTTAATGTTCTGCATGATCTTGGTGTTCCCTGAATTCAACAGACTGGTGCTGATTAGCTTTTTGGTTGCTCGTTTGTTGCTAGCCACACATTTGGCCTCAGAATTTCTGCTAATGCAGCCTGTTCCAGCTAGCTAGCCAAACACTATGGATTGATGTTTGTATAGATAGTTTTGCATTATTATACTTTGCTACTGCACTCATGTTGTTGACCATTTGTGACAAGTACCAGACCAGTGGGGCAGACATGTTGCTAAGTCCAAGCTGGAGTTTCCCCCGTGAATTATTGGTCAATCCTTATATGGCTCATTAATTGATTTACAAAGACACTCTCACAATAAAAACACCAGTATCAAATAGAGCGCTAAACCGGGGATTTGTGACACAAACAACTAATTAGCTAGAGTTTAATTTTCAATATAAGTCCATAGGAGCCAGAGAACTTTTCTAATGGTCTTGATGTAGCTAGTGGGTTAGCATTATCCTTCTGTATTCAGTCCATGCACCCATCAGCTGTTGAACAGGACCAAACATGTCAATACTGGGTCTATACTAGGCATCAAATCTGTTATCTGAGTCAGAGAGGGACCGGCGACTTCCTGACCACAGCATTTCCATACTGAGCGCTGTGGTAGATCACAATCTGCTTTTTATCAAGGTATCATTACGTGACATGCCATAACGAGACTGATGCACGTTTAATTGTTTAAGAATTCACATAAAAATTAACGGAGCTGTCATTGGATTAGCACACAAGAATTAAGTGAGGGGTGTAATTAAAGATCAAGGGATAGGAAGAACGCTGTTTCAACAATATTATCAACTTGGCAAGGAGAAGGTCTGCATACTGGGACAGGAGAGGTCTGCATGTATACTGGGACAGGAGAGGTCTGCATGTATACTGGGACAGGAGAGGTCTGTATGTATACTGGGACAGGAGAGGTCTGTATGTATACTGGGACAGGAGAGGTCTGTATGTATACTGGGACAGGAGTGGTTTGTATGTATACTGAGACAAGAGAGGTCTGTATGTATACTGAGACAAGAGAGGTCTGTATGTATACTGGGACAGGAGTGGTTTGTATGTATACTGGGACAGGAGTGGTTTGTATGTATACTGGGACAAGAGAGGTCTGTATGTATACTGGGACAGGAGAGGTCTGTATGTATACTGGGACAGGAGAGGTCTGTATGTATACTGGGACAGGAGAGGTCTGTATGTATACTGGGACAGGAGTGGTCTGTATGTATACTGGGACAGGGAGGTCTGTATGTATACTGGGACAGGAGAGGTCTGCATGTATACTGAGACAGGAGAGGTCTGCATGTATACTGGGACAGGAGAGGTCTGCATGTATACTGGGACAGGAGAGGTCTGCATGTATACTGGGACAGGAGTGGTTTGTATGTATACTGGGACAGGAGAGGTCTGTATGTATACTGGGACAGGAGTGGTTTGTATGTATACTGGGACAGGAGAGGTCTGTATGTATACTGAGACAGGAGAGGTTTGTATGTATACTGGGACAGGAGAGGTCTGTATGTATACTGGGACAGGAGAGGTCTGTATGTATACTGGGACAGGAGAGGTTGTATGTATACTGGGACAGGAGTGGTTTGTATGTATACTGGGACAGGAGTGGTCTGTATGTATACTGGACAGGAGGGTTGTATGTATACTGGGACAAGAGAGGTCTGTATATGTATACTGAGACAAGAGAGGTCTGTATGTATACTGGGACAGGAGAGGTCTGTATGTATACTGGGACAAGAGAGGTCTGTATGTATACTGGGACAGGAGAGGTCTGTATGTATACTGGGACAGGAGAGGTCTGTATGTATACTGGGACAGGAGTGGTTTGTATGTATACTGGGACAGGAGAGGTCTGTATGTATACTGGGACAGGAGAGAGGTCTGTATGTATACTGGGACAGGAGAGGTCTGATGTATACTGGGACAGGAGAGGTCTGTATGTATACTGGGACAGGAGAGGTCTGTATGTATACTGGGACAGGAGAGGTCTGTATGTATACTGGGACAGGAGAGGTCTGTATGTATACTGGGACAGGAGAGGTCTGTATGTATACTGGGACAGGAGAGGTCTGTATGTATACTGGGACAGGAGAGGTCTTGTATACTGGGACAGGAGAGGTCTGTATGTATACTGGGACAGGAGAGGTCTGTATGTATACTGGGACAGGAGAGGTCTGTATGTATACTGAGACAGGAGTGGTTTGTATGTATACTGAGACAAGAGAGGTCTGTATGTATACTGAGACAGGAGTGGTTTGTATGTATACTGGGACAGGAGAGGTCTGTATGTATACTGGGACAGGAGAGGTCTGTATGTATACTGGGACAGGAGAGGTCTGTATGTATACTGGGACAGGAGAGGTCTGTATGTATACTGAGACAGGAGAGGTCTGTATGTATACTGAGACAAGAGAGGTCTGTATGTATACTGGGACAGGAGAGGTCTGTATGTATACTGGGACAAGAGAGGTCTGTATGTATACTGGGACAGGAGAGGTCTGTATGTATACTGGGACAGGAGAGGTCTGTATGTATACTGGGACAGGAGAGGTCTGTATGTATACTGGGACAGGAGAGGTCTGTATGTATACTGGGACAGGAGAGGTCTGTATGTATACTGAGACAAGAGAGGTCTGTATGTATACTGAGACAAGAGAGGTCTGTATGTATACTGGGACAGGAGAGGTCTGTATGTATACTGGGACAAGAGAGGTCTGTATGTATACTGGGACAGGAGAGGTCTGTATGTATACTGGGACAAGAGAGGTTTGTATGTATACTGGGACAGGAGAGGTCTGCATGTATACTGAGACAGGAGAGGTCTGTATGTATACTGGGACAGGAGAGGTCTGTATGTATACTGGGACAGGAGAGGTCTGTATGTATACTGGGACAGGAGAGGTCTGTATGTATACTGGGACAGGAGAGGTCTGTATGTATACTGGGACAGGAGAGGTCTGTATGTATACTGAGACAAGAGAGGTCTGTATGTATACTGGGACAGGAGAGGTCTGTATGTATACTGGGACAGGAGAGGTCTGTATGTATACTGAGACAAGAGAGGTCTGCATGTATACTGGGACAGGAGTGGTTTGTATGTATACTGGGACAGGAGTGGTTTGTATGTATACTGGGACAAGAGAGGTCTGCATGTATACTGAGACAGGAGAGGTCTGCATGTATACTGAGACAAGAGAGGTCTGTATGTATACTGAGACAAGAGAGGTCTGTATGTATACTGAGACAAGAGAGGTCTGTATGTATACTGGGACAAGAGAGGTCTGTATGTATACTGAGACAGGAGAGGTCTGTATGTATACTGGGACAGGAGTGGTTTGTATGTATACTGGGACAAGAGAGGTCTGTATGTATACTGGGACAGGAGAGGTCTGTATGTATACTGAGACAGGAGAGGTCTGTATGTATACTGGGACAGGAGTGGTTTGTATGTATACTGGGACAGGAGAGGTTTGTATGTATACTGGGACAGGAGAGGTCTGTATGTATACTGGGACAGGAGAGGTCTGTATGTATACTGGGACAGGAGAGGTCTGTATGTATACTGGGACAGGAGAGGTCTGTATGTATACTGGGACAGGAGTGGTCTGTATGTATACTGGGACAGGAGAGGTCTGTATGTATACTGGGACAGGAGTGGTCTGTATGTATACTGAGACAGGAGTGGTTTGTATGTATACTGGGACAGGAGAGGTTTGTATGTATACTGGGACAGGAGAGGTCTGTATGTATACTGGGACAGGAGAGGTCTGTATGTATACTGGGACAGGAGAGGTCTGTATGTATACTGGGACAGGAGAGGTCTGTATGTATACTGAGACAGGAGAGGTCTGTATGTATACTGGGACAGGAGAGGTCTGTATGTATACTGAGACAAGAGAGGTCTGTATGTATACTGAGACAAGAGAGGTCTGTATGTATACTGGGACAGGAGAGGTCTGTATGTATACTGAGACAGGAGTGGTTTGTATGTATACTGGGACAGGAGTGGTTTGTATGTATACTGGGACAGGAGAGGTCTGTATGTATACTGGGACAGGAGTGGTTTGTATGTATACTGGGACAGGAGAGGTCTGTATGTATACTGAGACAGGAGAGGTCTGTATGTATACTGGGACAGGAGTGGTTTGTATGTATACTGGGACAGGAGTGGTTTGTATGTATACTGGGACAGGAGAGGTCTGTATGTATACTGAGACAGGAGAGGTCTGTATGTATACTGGGACAGGAGTGGTTTGTATGTATACTGGGACAGGAGAGGTTTGTATGTATACTGGGACAGGAGAGGTTTGTATGTATACTGAGACAAGAGTGGTTTGTATGTATACTGGGACAGGAGAGGTTTGTATGTATACTGAGACAAGAGTGGTTTGTATGTATACTTTGAGACTCCGATGTGCAGTGAAAAGGCGGTATATAAATAAAGATTACTTACTACTTACTACTACTACAGTTGATTGACATGTGAAATTAGCCAATCGCAAGTGTTTATGTTCTGGGTGTAATTGACAGCTAATTTGGGCCAATCAGAACTTTGAATTTTCAAGGTGTATTGAGAGCACTACGTTTGTTAAGTTTATCATTTGCACTTTGGACCTCGTGGTTTTTCTCCGTGTGCGTTATAAAAAAGTGAGTAGTGGTTGGACTGAAGTCACATAAATGAACCCTGCTTTCTTGTACACTGTTTATAAGCCTATTATATATATGTATATTTTTAAGAACATTTGAATACTCTTTTGTTTTGAGTGCTGTTAAGAGCTAATCTGCTAACTGCTGTGAGCTAAATGTTATTGGTGTGCTATTCTCGTGCACATAATGCTTTTGTTAAGTAGGTCATTCTAATTTAGACTTTCTGTTATTGCATGACTACAGTACACACGAATAAAGAACCACGCAGATATAGATACCTGCTGTCAATCAGTGTGCAAGGAAGAACTTTTAATAAACTCAAAACTGGATCATCTCTACTGTGCATTCTTACCGATATTCCCTGGTGGTCACAATCCCCATTACAAATCAGACAAACTTGCTCTCCCCACAACAAGTGGTCTATAGTGTATTTATTCTGAGACAAGAGAGGCCTGTACTGTATGTATACTGAGACAGGAGTGGTCCAAATCCCTATTCTCTTCCCATATAAACGTAGTCTTGTCCCTAATGTGTGAGTAATATCCGTGTGAGTGCGATGTGCTGAGTGGAGGTGACAGGGGACACATTTCACCGCGACACCGTCTGGTTTTTACCTGATTATAATCAAGTGATGAGTGTCTCCAGGAACCATCTCCACCATCAGCAGACTGGGGATTTATATGCAGGATTTGGCTCAGTGTTTTGTCCTGTTGATGCATTTGGGGTTAGGGCTGTTTGGAAAGGCAAGGCAAGGTTATTTGTATAGGACAGTTGATACACAAGGCAACTCTCACTCTCTTAATGTGACGTAGGCTTCTGATGAGTTGATTTCTTTTTTCTTGGTACATGTAAACCAGGGGTGTCCAAAACTAGCCTCTGTTATGTGGCCCTCTACCGCAAACACTGCGTCATCCAGGTAACTTCAGCTCCACCAGTATAGTCATGCTGTAAAGCTCAGTATCATTGATAAGATAAGATAAGATATACTTTACTAATCCCACACAAGAGAAATTTACTGTACATTGGAATCCAGTTGTTAACTTAATTGGTGTATCCTGACCTTCTTTAATTTTCTTTTTACTGCCATTGTGAGTGACAAGAAGTCACAAAGAAAGTTGCTTTGGCTCTCATCACAGTTAAAAATAAAAAACCGAATGAGACATAAAATAAAATAAAAATCTACATAACATTCCTTAAAATCTCTACTTTATACAAGTGCTATAAGTAAACACAAGACATTTAGCAGTGCAGTGTAGTGACGGTAAAGTGACCATAAAGTGACGGTCATAAGGGCAGGGGACAGTGATAAGTGTTCCTGAGTCCAACTGCAGAGAGGAAGAAACTGTTCTTGTGGCAGGAGGTTCTGGTAGTAGTAAGTAATCTTTATTTATATACCGCCTTTTCACTGCAGATCTTAGTCTCAAAGCGGTTTACAATTGTTAATTATGGGCACTTGTCCAATCACTCCACACAGAGATGGGAGGGGCCAGTACAGGAGGCACATGCCAGAACTATTGTACATATTTTTAGTGGTAGGGGAAACCGGAGTACCCGGAGGAAACCTACGCAGACACGGGGAGAACATGCAAACTCCACTCAGAAAGGCCCTGGTCCGACCGGGATTCGAACCCAGGACCTTCTTGCTGAGAGGCGAGAGTGCTATCCACTCAGCCACCGAGCCACCGGTAGTGATTGGAATAGTCCATGTGCAGGGTGAGAGGGGTCAGCACCGATACGACCAACCCGCCCTCGAGCTTTGCGTCGTACAGGTCCTGCAGCAATGGAAGGCTGCAGCCGATCACCTTCTCTGCAGAGTCTCTGACAGTGGCTCCAGCGAACCACACGTGTAGAACAGTCGCTGCAGTGTCCCCAACGACAGGACCACAGCGTGAGAGGCCGGAGTGAGAGGCCGGAGTGCGAGGCCAGAGTGCGAGACCGGAGTGCGAGACCGGAGTGCGAGACCGGAGTGCGAGACCGGAGTGCGAGACCGGAGTGCGAGACCGGAGTGCGAGACCGGAGTGCGAGACCGGAGTGCGAGACCGGAGTGCGAGACCGGAGTGCGAGACCGGAGTGCGAGACCGGAGTGCGAGACCGGAGTGCGAGACCGGAGTGCGAGACCGGAGTGCGAGACCGGAGTGCGAGACCGGAGTGCGAGACCGGAGTGCGAGACCGGAGTGCGAGACCGGAGTGCGAGACCGGAGTGCGAGACCGGAGTGCGAGACCGGAGTGCGAGACCGGAGTGCGAGACCGGAGTGCGAGACCGGAGTGCGAGACCGGAGTGCGAGACCGGAGTGCGAGACCGGAGTGCGAGACCGGAGTGCGAGACCGGAGTGCGAGACCGGAGTGCGAGACCGGAGTGCGAGACCGGAGTGCGAGACCGGAGTGCGAGACCGGAGTGCGAGACCGGAGTGCGAGACGGAGTGCGAGACCGGAGTGCGAGACCGGAGTGCGGACCGGAGTGCGAGACCGGAGTGCGAGACCGGAGTGCGAGACCGGAGTGCGAGACCGGAGTGCATTTCCTCTCCTTTATATGTCAATTTCTGACTTTGGGTGTGGCTGCCTATAGTTCTCAAAGCGCCAGCCCCTTATCCTCCTGCAGATGGTGGTTCCACAGAAAGATGGCTGCTTAGTCAGTGATGACACAACCTTGGTCCTTCAGCTGGGGTTTCAAGCAGAGTGGGGGTGAGTGCCTTTCCCAGGGACATATATGTTGCTGTGGTGTGAATAAATACGGAAACATCATACCCCATTTTAAAGCCCAGAAGAGGATAAATCAGATTTACTATCTGTGCTGTCGGGCCCAAGACAAGTCTGATCCTGGACTGAGTCTAAAGTGGCCCTCCTACAGGAAAGTTTGGACACCCCTGCTGTAAACACCGTGACTGTCCTCGGTGAAGCTGCTCTCCTCTTGGCACTGACGGATGTGTCGCTGACAGGAGCGCTGTGCATTTGGCAGTAATCTCTGCGCTCGTGTTTGAGGGCGATTTACAGCAGCAGGACGAGCCGTTAGAACAGACGCCTCGACCACATCACCTCCAGCGAGATTTATAAGGGCGGGAAGAGAGGACAATGTCAGAGACGTCGCCAATTTACAAGTGAATTAGTGAATCGTCCAAATCTGATATAGGAGGGGAGCTGGGGCCTCCAATTCAATTTGTTTTTGTACAGCCCTGCATCACAACAGCAGTCGTCATGAGGACTTTACAAAGTTGTCGATTCACCAACAACAGATCAGAGAATCCAACGTTTCCAACATAGAAGATGCAATAATAACACATAAGAGCCATTGGTCAGTAGGGAGCGGGATGACCACTGTCCAGAAATGTTGATAAATGTGCCACAAGTCCCGGATAATCACTGTCCCTAGAGCCGTGGTCTCACACACGCAGTTTGAAATGTAGCGGTTTCAAAGAGAGCTAAGTTGTGTGTGGAAAGTAAAATAGTGTGTGCACTTTTAATGGTTTGATTTGATCTCTGCGTATGATTAGATCCACATCCTGAACAATGTCCTTAAATGTCGCTGAATGTCGAGTGTCCTCAATCATCACCGCTATCCTTGGACCGTCCTGCGTCTGCATGGAAACACCGAAACACCACTCCCATATGGAATTTAGTGACATAAAGGTGACCTCTTATGCAAATCATTTTTTTCTTGTCACTGGGTGTGATGGCTGCAAGGACATGCTGAAATCACTGTAAAAAAGTAAACCAATAAAGTTATAGTTTCTAAACAGTTAAAGAGCAGGAGTTTGTATTCAGTGCTGTCTCCTTATAGTCTTCATGGGGATTGCTAATGTTTTAGTTTTTTCCCCCACGTCGATCACTGTTTCCCTAGAAACCACAACCACGTAAACTGTTCTCTTTAAACAAGCAAAACAAATACTTTTCCCTTTTGTCATGAGAAAATAAGCTGATGCTATGTTTTTGTAGATTACCCAATTGCAAGTTCCTCACTTTAAAGTCTGTGGGGAAATATCCTCCTTCTCTTAATGCGTAAAAATGATATTCTGTGAGAAAGTTGAGGAACAGTCGCTGCAGTGTCCCCAAACGATGCGCGACAGGACCACAACCAATGATGTCACCTTCTACAGTGTGACGTCTTTTGGCTCCGACACAGAGGACTGCAGAGGTCCATTCATTGTTATTCTTTCAGTGCAATCCCTTTCTGAAGCTGGGCAGACACACTGCAATTTCATGTGTTTTTTAGACGTGAGATGTTGTTTTTAAACTCGCACACTGTGCACAAACAGAGACTGATGAATCTTCATGACCCTGTAAGCAATATCTGATCTGCCCATGAGAGGGGGCCCATCCTGCCTCCTTTTGATACAATCAATCAATGGACAAATAGTCAAATATTACTGCCTTCAGAGGAAGTTAATAGTTATTTGTAAAAGCAGCAAAAACAGAGACCACAGAGAGAGACTGGATTGAGAGGCCGGAGTGAGAGACTGGAGTGAGAGACTGGAGTGAGTGACCATGGAGTGAGAGACTGGAGTGAGAGACTGGAGTGAGAGACCGGAGTGAGAGACCGGAGTGAGAGACCGGAGTGAGAGGCCGGAGTCAGAGACCGGAGTCAGAGACCGGAGTCAGAGACCGGAGTCAGAGACCGGAGTCAGAGACCGGAGTGAGAGACCGGAGTGAGAGACCGGAGTGAGAGACCGGAGTGAGAGACCGGAGTGAGAGACCGGAGTGAGAGACCGGAGTGAGAGACCGGAGTGAGAGACCGGAGTGAGAGACCGGAGTGAGAGACCGGAGTGAGAGACCGGAGTGAGAGACCGGAGTGAGAGACCGGAGTGAGAGACCGGAGTGAGAGACCGGAGTGAGAGACCGGAGTGAGAGACCGGAGTGAGAGACCGGAGTGAGAGACCGGAGTGAGAGACCGGAGTGAGAGACCGGAGTGAGAGACCGGAGTGAGAGACCGGAGTGAGAGACCGGAGTGAGAGACCGGAGTGAGAGACCGGAGTGAGAGACCGGAGTGAGAGACCGGAGTGAGAGACCGGAGTGAGAGACCGGAGTGAGAGACCGGAGTGAGAGACCGGAGTGAGAGACCGGAGTGAGAGACCGGAGTGAGAGACCGGAGTGAGAGACCGGAGTGAGAGACCGGAGTGAGAGACCGGAGTGAGAGACCGGAGTGAGAGACCGGAGTGAGAGACCGGAGTGAGAGGCCGGAGTCAGAGGCCGGAGTCAGAGGCCGGAGTCAGAGGCCGGAGTCAGAGGCCGGAGTCAGAGGCCGGAGTCAGAGGCCGGAGTGAGGGACCGGAGTGAGGGACCGGAGTGAGGGACCGGAGTGAGGGACCGGAGTGAGGGACCGGAGTGAGGGACCGGAGTGAGGGACCGGAGTGAGGGACCGGAGTGAGGGACCGGAGTGAGGGACCGGAGCATCAAATCCCGTACCTGTTTGCATATGCAATGTTTATTACTGTGTGTTGCTCATGTAGAGACAGAGCCTCCAGAATCATTGAAAGAACAGTGTGGTGTGAGTTTGAGCACGGCTGGGTGGTCCACTTCCTGTCACATGATGCACCGATTTCCTCTTTCTGTGCACACACGGCTCCATTACAAAACACTGTGTTTAACTCTTAACTATGCATGTGGCAGAAAGTGCATTTTGAAGTTTTCCGTGTTTCAGATGAGCTGTTGACAGCAGCTGATATAAGTTTTGTGTCCATCTATTTGGGACAGAGACAAAGAATGTGGTTGTTTAAAAGGCTGATAAAATGTTTAATGTCATAGTTGGGAAAAAGATATGGACCAGAGAGAGAGACAAGCAAAAGAGAGACCAGAGACTGGGTGAAAAGTGAAATAGACCAGAGAGAGCAAGCAGTGAGAGACCAGAAAGAGAAACCAGAGAGAGAGACCACACTAGAGCTGTCACAATGCTAAATTTAATTTTTATTATTAGTTCTATCTAGTTTCAGCAGTAGGTCAGCAGTGTTTTTCAAGTAAAAAAAGAGTTTGAAATGGTGTATTCTGTTCCCTGGCTGATAAGCATGTGTCATTTGTGAGGATTTACTGGTGGCTTAAGACCAGTTCCTCTGCATGTCTGAGTGATGGTGTGAGCTCTGCACATGCTCACATTACACCAACCCAGTCACACCACGTGGAAATTCTGTTTTAAAACAGACCTGGAGTAAGTTTTGGCTCCATCCACGCTTTCTATTTTCCAATGTAAGAACTTATACCACATTCTCATGAGATGCCAGAGTGAAGACAATTCAACCTGAGGGAGAGAGCAGAGGGAGAGAGCAGGAGAGAGCAGGAGAGAGAGCAGAAGAGAGCAGGAGAGAGCAGGAGAGAGCAGAGGGAGAGAGCAGAGAGAGAGCAGAGGGAGAGAGCAGAGAGAGAGCAGAGAGAGAGCAGAGGGAGAGAGCAGAGGGAGAGAGCAGAGGGAGAGCGCAGGAGAGAGCAGGAGAGAGCAGGAGAGAGCAGAGGGAGAGAGCAGGAGAGAGCAGGAGAGAGCAGGAGAGAGCAGGAGAGAGCAGGAGAGAGCAGGAGAGAGCAGAGGGAGAGAGCAGGAGAGAGCAGGAGAGCAGGAGAGAGCAGGAGAGAGCAGGAGAGAGCAGGAGAGAGCAGGAGAGAGCAGGAGAGAGCAGAAGGAGAGAGAGCAAAGAGAGAGCAGAGCGAGAGAGATCAAAGAGAGAGAGCAAAGAGAGAGAGAGAGAGAGCGCAGAGCGAGAGAGAGCAAAGAGCGAGAGAGAGCAAAGAGAGAGAGAGAGCAAAGAGAGAGAGGGAGCAGAGAGAGAGAGAGGGAGAGCATAGAGGGAGAGCAGAGAGGGAGACCAGTATTATCGGACTTAAGTTAAGCTAGTTAAGTTATACTAGCAGTTATATGATGTTGTATAGGATGTTGTATGTGGCGCATGAGAAGCACAGTGTGAAAAAAACCCCGATATAGCGAGGGACTTCTGTAATTAATGAGTTTATCCTCCTGTTTCTCTTGTGTTTGACTTTGCTTTGACATTGTATATGTATTTATCGTTGGTTGTAGAGGTTGTTTAGTTTGAAGGTCGGAGCTGGGAGCAGGAGGCTGAGGCTGTAAGCTCATGTCCTCTGGAGGTCTGGGTTTCCCCTGGGATCTGTGTGTGTGTGATTTGTGGGGCGGGCAGAGTTAAATCTGACACAATCTGCTGCATTCTGAGAAGAACCGTATAATGACTGACCACAAATTATACATTTGTGGCCAGTCATCTGCCTCATTTGACCAGATTGCTCTGCTTCTAGTTCCAACAACTGGAGAGTGAGACAAGAGAGAGCGAGAGTCTAGCGAGAGTCTAGCGAGAGTCTAGCGAGAGTCTAGCGAGAGTCTAGCGAGAGTCTAGCGAGAGTCTAGCGAGAGTCTAGCGAGAGTCTAGCGAGAGTCTAGCGAGAGTCTAGCGAGAGTCTAGCGAGAGTCTAGCGAGAGTCTAGCGAGAAGGACTGGAGAGAGTCTAGCGAGAAGGACTGGAGAGAGTCTAGCGAGAAGGACTGGAGAGAGTCTAGCGAGAAGGACTGGAGAGAGACCGGAGAGAGACTGGAGAGAGACCGGAGAGAGACTGGAGAGAGAGAGACCAGAGAAAGGACAGCGATAGATCAGAGAGAGAGTTTACTTTTCCATGTAGAGCAATAGGAGCCAGAGCAAATTGGAGCAAAACTTCACCGGGATCACTTCTTGATAAGATAACTTATAGATGTTGCTGCAGTACGGTGTTCAGGGCATGAATCCCAACAGCGTTCATCTTGGAGGATGTTGCTCATTCATCAAAAAGCAATCAGAGAATCAAACCGCCAATATTAACAAATGTCTTCATGTTGTTCTGGATCATCAATGTCAAAAACCCATTGGATGAAAAAAAGTGAGATACCTCAGATGGGTTTTCCCATATTGTGAGAGGTATCCGCTCCCACAAACAGACAGGCTGTAGATACAGGACTGAGGCTGTAGATCCAAGATTGAGGTTGCTGATCAAAGATTGAGACTGTAGATCCAAGAATGAGGCTGTCGATCCAGTAAATGTCTTTCCATGAGTCAATTAAGCAGTGTACCTCGGGCTTCGCCTCCTCTTTGGCCCAGGTTTTCACGAAAAGGCTGTTTTGGCGATATATCATCGGAATAGGAAGTGTATATTTATTGTTCCAGAGGCATAGAGAAGAAATAGGGCAACTAAAATCTGACATTTAACTTTGTGTGTTTACAGGATGGCTCCCGGCAGCGCAAAGAGCGAAAAAAGACTGTGTCGTTCAGCAGCATGCCCACAGAAAAGAAGATCAGCCGTGCCAGTGACTGCCTCAGCGCCATGGTGGAGGGCACCGAGCTCAAGAAGGTCCGCTCCAACTCCCGCGTCTACCACCGCTACTTCCTCCTGGATGCAGACATGCAGTCCCTCCGCTGGGAGCCCTCCAAGAAGGAATCGGACAAGGCCAAAATAGACGTGAAGTCTGTCAAGGAAGTGCGGACAGGGAAGAACACAGACACTTTCAGAACCAACGGGACGTATGAGCAGATCTCTGAGGACTGCGCTTTTTCCATCATCTTCGGAGATAACTACGAGTCGCTGGATTTGGTGGCGAACACGGCAGACATCGCCAACATTTGGGTGACGGGATTGAGGTATTTGATATCGTACGGGAAGCATTCGTTGAACATGATCGAGAGCAGTCAGAACAACATGCGCTCATCATGGTTGAGCCAACTTTTTGACAAAGCCGACAATAGCAACAGCAAACAGATTAGCATATGCACTGCAGTTCAACTAATCAAAGAGCTCAACCCTGGACTCAAAAATGTCAAAACTGAACTGAAGTTTAAGGAGCTCCTGAAAGCTAAGGACAAAGTTGGTTCTGACGTGACCAGAGAAGAGTTTATCGAAGTTTACCATGATTTGTGTACCAGGCCCGAGATTTATTTCCTATTTGTACAGTTTTCTAGCAACAAGGAATTTTTAGACACCAAGGACTTAATGATATTCCTCGAGGCTGAGCAGGGTATGCCGCAAGTTAGCGAAGAAACTAGCTTGGAGGTCATTCAGAAATTTGAACCATCAAAAGAAGGACAGATCAACTATTGGCTTTCGTTAGATGGCTTTACTAACTATCTCATGTCTCCTGAGTGTCATATCTTTGATCCTGAACATAAAATTGTTTGCCAGGATATGAACCAACCCATGTCCCATTATTTCATCAATTCCTCTCACAACACGTATCTCATAGAAGACCAGTTCAGGGGACCGTCTGACGTCACAGGATATATCCGCGCTCTAAAAATGGGATGCAGAAGTGTAGAGCTGGACGTTTGGGATGGCCCCGACAACGAGCCGGTCATTTACACTGGACACACAATGACATCGCAGATAGTTTTCCGAAATGTCATCGATGTCATTAATAAATATGCGTTTGTCGCTTCGGAATTCCCGCTAATACTTTGCTTGGAAAACCATTGCTCGTTGACGCAGCAGCGAGTCCTATACCAGCACTTGAAGAAGATCCTTGGGGATAAAATGCATGTAGATTCTCCCAAACCAGAAGATCCATACCTGCCAACACCTGCGTCACTCAAGGGGAAAATTGTATTGAAAGGTAAAAAATTGAGTACTAACTGCATCGCAACGGAAGGGGAGGTGACGGACGAAGACGAAGGAGCCGAGATGTCCCAACGTCTGAGCATTGAGTCGGCAGAACAACCACCGTCCAATGTACACAAGAAATTCCAGCTTTCCAAGGATCTGTCCGATTTGGTGACACTGTGCCAATCCGTGGAGTTTAAGGACTTCCCCACGTCATTTCAGAGCCAGAAACCGTGGGAATTTTGCTCCTTTAACGAGGTCTTTGCCAGCCGATGTGCCAATGACTTTCCGGGGGATTTTGTGAATTATAACAAAAAGTTCTTGGCTCGCATTTATCCCAGTCCAATGAGAATCGACTCCAGCAATATGAATCCGCAAGATTTCTGGAAATGCGGGTGCCAAATTGTAGCTATGAATTACCAAACGCCAGGTCTCATGATGGATCTAAACATCGGGTGGTTTCGCCAGAACGGAAATTGTGGATATGTTCTCAGGCCTGCGATCATGAGAGAGCAGGTGTCATATTTTAGTGCCAACACCAAAGATTCTGTGCCTGGGGTTTCTCCGCAGCTTCTCCACATCAAGATTATTAGCGGGCAGAATTTCCCAAAACCTAAAGGCTCAGGGGCTAAAGGAGACGTGGTGGACCCGTACGTCTACGTTGAGATCCATGGAATTCCAGCGGACTGTGGCGAACAGCGAACTCGGACGGTGCACCAAAACGGGGACAACCCTTTGTTCGACGAGAGTTTTGAGTTCCAGATCAACCTCCCGGAGTTAGCCATGGTGCGTTTTGTGGTTCTGGACGATGACTACATCGGGGACGAATTTATCGGCCAGTACACCATACCCTTTGAATGCCTGCAGCCCGGCTATCGCCACGTGCCGTTGCAGTCATTGACGGGAGAGGTGCTTCCACACACACAACTGTTTGTCCACGTGGCCATCACCAACCGGCGAGGAGGCGGGAAGCCGCATAAAAGAGGGCTGTCGGTGCGGAAGGGGAAGAAAAGCCGGGAGTATGCGAGCATGAGGGTGCTGCTCATCCGGACCATCGACGATGTTTTCAAGACGGCCCTGCTGTCGCTGAGGGAGGCCACGGATCTCAGAGAAAACATGCAGGTTAGTCACATGACACTAGAGCTCACAGAGCAGTCCATTTGACGACTTTTAGTTTTGAAAACTTGATTACTTGGCCTATGTACCTTTTTGGTTTTCATAACTTTTTTCTTTTATCTATATATAGATATGTAGATTTTCTGTTCTATGTTATTGTTTTTAGGGAATTACATTACTTTTGAGGAAAATTCAAATGTAGACATTTTTGTTTGCTCGGTAATCAGCTTGTTATAGCAGTTAAATTCCCCTCTTTCTTGGTGCGGATCCAGGACTAGTCTTGGTTTTGGGTCTGCTTGGTTTTCCACCTGAGAAGTGACCTGAGATACCACAGGAGCACACTGTTGCAGCAGTTTATATTTGTCCTTTCAACAAACTGTTTTTTGTGCTTTTTCAATTATAGTTACCAGGTTTTATGCTCAGAAAAAGTTGTAAAGATTTTAAATGACTTCTTTGAAATAAATAAAGAAACCCTGTGGGGGGTTTTCTAAGAATTCCATTGGTTTGAACTGGAGCATTCAAAATCTAATCACTTCTTGTAGTTTTATTATTCTTGGAGTCCAAATCAACAAATTATCAACAAAAGTTCACCTGGTTTACCATGGAATCACTTTTACCCATTTCTTCAGTGTAGCAGTGATTGTGTGACACGATCAATGGATCAGTTTTTGGAATTTCTCCCATTTCTGCATGAAATTACAATTTAATGTGATAGTTATCAAAATAAATCACAGTTAATTGCTGGTTCCCCTTTAGCCACAAAAAATTCAACCAATCTCTTCCTGTAGTTGCAGATCAGAATACATTTTTGACAATTCCTCTGTTGCAGTTCAGTCAGATTCCTAGAATGTCTGGCATGAATCGCTGTCTCTAGGTCATGTCACAGCTCTATGTGGTTCAAGGCAGGACTCCAGGACATGTATTTTGTTCTTCTGAAACCCTTCTGATGTGTCTTGAATTATTGTCCTGTTGAGATCTGAAGTTTTCCTGCAAAAAATCCTGATAAACAGTTGTATTATATTTTCCTTTAATGACTGCAAGTTGACTAGGCCCAGAGGTGGGTACTTTTCATATACTTTTTCAGGTACAGGTATATGTACAGTGTGTATATAAGAACATGTCCCTTCTGCTAATGTTTGGTACGCCCATGGTGCCAGCAAGGGGACATCTTGGAGACCCGGTCTTGACACATACTCACAAATGCTATTGCCATATTTCAGTCTCATACAGTCACTCAAAATCGTACTGGTAATACCACCAACAGTATTTTATCACCCAGCTCTACTCGTGATAATTGTATTGTCAGGGACTCCAAGATAGCCAGCCCGAGTCTGCAGAGTACAGAGACCTTGAAATGTTTGTCACGATCCATTCAAATAGATTGAGAGTCTGGCTGTGTTTCCCCCAGAATGCCTTGGTGTCCTTCAAAGAGCTGTGCGGGCTGTCGGCGGTGGCCAACTTGAAGCAGAGCCTTTTGGCCCTGTGCCCACGCCTCACCGGACCCGAAGGAGCTCCACAGCTCCTCTTCAACTTGTCGGACCAGTACCCCAGCCTGGAGCCCCAGAGCCTGCTGCCCGACGTGCTGCGGAGGGTGGTCAGCTCCTACGAAACGGTCAGAAAACAACTCACTGCTGTTTTCACTTTGTGTTCATCTTTCTTAAAGCTGGGAACCTTGTTCTTCTTTATTAATAATTCATTATCTTTGCCCCAACAGAAAGAGTCTTGTAAAAGTAAGGCAAGGCAAGGCAAGTTTATTTATATAGCACAATTCATACACAAGGCATAAATAATCACAGAACATTAAAAAGAAAGATAAAAATATAAAATCCCTCAGTTGCAGCACAGCTAAACAGAACTGTCTTTAACCTGGTTTTAAACATTGTCAGAGAGGAGACCTGTCTCACATCTTCAGGAAGACTGTTCCAGATTTTAGCAGCATGAATCTGAAAAGCAGCCTCCCCATGTTTAGTTCTGACTCTGGGCACTAACAGGAGTCCAGTCCCTGAGCTCCTCAGAGTCCGGGCTGGTTCATATGGGACTAACATTTATCACTAATATATTTTGGTGCGAGGCCATGGAGAGACTTGTAACAAGCAGAGCTGTTTTAAACGTGTTGATAATTTCTCAGGTGAAATTAAATTCTTTACTATCACATTGTTTGGATTGGCAGCTCCCTCTGGTGGCAGCATAGGGCGGCACGGTGGCTGAGTGGATAGCACTCTCGCCTCTCAGCAAAAAGGTCCTGGGTTCGAATCCCGGTCGGACCAGGGCCTTTCTGAGTAGAGTTTGCATGTTCTCCCCGTGTCTGCGTAGGTTTCCTCCGGGTACTCCGGTTTCCCCTACCACTAAAAACATGTCCAATAGTTCTGGCATGCGCCTCCTGTACTGGCGACCCCGCTCCCATCTCTGTGTGGAGTGAGAGACAAATGCCCAAAAATTAACAATTGTAAACCGCTTTGAGACTCAGATCTGCAGTGAAAAAGACGGTATATAAATAAAGATTACTCTTACATAGAGAGTTATAGTCAAAAAGCGTTTTGCATAATCATAAAAAAGTAGTCCTTTGCTTCTCCCTCTTCCTTCCAATGCCTCTCGGTCCTCTGTCAGGAGCAGTGGTAGCCAGATTCGGCTGCTCATGGTCAGGACCGGAGCTGGAGGATTTTTACCTGGAACACTGGAGCAAGCTGGAGCACCTATGCAGATACAGGGAGAACATGCAAACTCCACTCAGAAAGGACCTTCTTGCTGAGATGCGAGAGTCCCTTACATCGTTCTCTGTCCATCTTTCAGTCTGTGCAATGAAATAGAATTGAAACCCTATGAACGCAGGCGGAGCACATCACAATGCTTACAGCATCTGGGAGTTTAAGAATTATTCATAACTTTGACCTGATTCTATCATTATTCTGGAGATGGACTCACTCCCCGGGCAAGTGTGTGTGAACTCTATCTTCTTTTAACATAACAAAGGCCCCGCAGTCAGAGCTGTCCAATTAATTGCAATATATGTTTTTATATATGTGTGCTGTCAAACAAATAAAATATTCAATTGCATTAATGCCATAGTTAACTCACGATTAATCACACTGTTTTCCATGTTCTAAATGTCCCAAAAGGGATTGGATGAAGCAAAAATGTTATATTAATCCAATCCAGTCAAAAAAAATGAAGGCTACTTTATAAGGTGTATAAAGGTGTGGCTAAGACGGCTGCTAATGTAAGCTGGAATTACCTCTTTGGATGAAGGCATCTGATTGGTCAAGAGTTAATTTGCAAATCAGAATCTTTGTTTTGAATGTTTAAAAAAAAGGATAAACATGTTTGTTACTGGCAAAGCTTTTGAAGGAGGGGTTCAACTTGATTTGATAAATAGATCAGCTTTTAAATGTGCCGCCACCTGCAGGTGAAAGCCACCTCTGAAGCTAAGTTGGTAGGCCTGATCAGTTCTGTGATGGGAGACCTGCCAAACTGTTGTTTTAATTAGAATGAGTCTGGTGTGTGTGTGAATGGTTGATGATGTTGGGAGTGTGACGGTGTGCCTCAGGGCAGCTGTGGCTGCAGTTGTAGTTTATCAGCACTGTGACTGGAATGATTGAATTTATGTGAATCGTTTGAGGGTCCAAAAAGTTTTTCTTGTGATTTTTGAAAAAAAAAACCTCTGATCTGATTTTGCATATTAACTTTTCTTTTATTGATACATACATGCTCCTATTATGAAACATTAACAGCTAGCTCTGTAAGTTGTGAGCTATTATGCTCTCACTACTGTCCTGTGAGTGTGCTGCAACACTGACATTTCCCCACTGTGAGACAGATAAAGGTTCTTTTCACATTCTAATGTAGATTCAGTCATGGCCAGGTTTATTAATGAGAGGTTCTTTGTGAGTCGCGTGCGGTTTAGAGCAGAGCTCAGAAAGCCTTTTTGATAAACGGCACTAATTAAAATTCTCAGTTCTGTTCAGGAAATTAACAAAACAGCCGCAGTTTATTAAGTGGGAAATTCCAATTCCAATTGCAGTTGTAAAGACTGTAATTTCAGACCGAGAAATTCCCATTCCCAGAGTAATGTGGAGTTTATACTTTGGTTTAAAGGAGAAATATTCTGCAAATTGACTTTTTTCCCTCATCAGTCACAGGATCCTTCCCAGCTAGTAGCAGGAACTTCTGGCCTAAACATGTAGCTCTGCCCCTTCTGTTTAAAAGCCTCACGTGAGCTGTGTTCATTTTTACAGTGGTCCCTCGCTGTAACGGTTTATCTTTTGTGGCCTCGCTGTTTCACAGTTTTTTTTTGTGAAGTTGTAGAAGAAAATTGCTGGATTCAATTGTGCTTTTTTTTCCAGCATGTTTTGTATGTGCCACTTGTATACTCCACAACGTCATATACCCTCTCGCTCTGGTCTCTCTCTCTCTCGCCTTTTTCTCTGGCCCCTCTCGCTCTGGATTCTCTCTGTTCTCTTTCTCTGGTCTCTTTCTCTGGTCTCTTTCTCTGGTCTCTTTCTCTGGTCACTCTCTCTGGTGTCGTCCTCTCTTGTCTCTTTCGCTGGTCACTGTCTCTGGTCTCTTCCTCTGGTCTCTCTCTCTGGCCCTTCTCATCTTTCTGCTCTCTCTTGCTGGTCCCTCTCTGGTCTCAGTCTTGTGTCTGGTCTCTCCCTGGTCTTTCTGATCTCTCCCCGCCATTGCACTTTAACAGTCGTGAGTTCTGGTGGTTAGAAAACTGTATAAAATGTGTGTGAGGGGTTTTACAGCCTTAGAACATACAGCCGCTTTCAGAACACATCACCTCCGCGATCACTGGTGACCGCTGCATCCAAATATTATTCCGAAAACTCAATTAAAAATGTAGCCAAACCCTAAATCCTTTAACAGTGTATAAAACAAGGTCTGTATACTTTGGAAGAAGTCTCCATTGTCGTCTTTGGTTCGACCCTGGCCTCGCACCACTGGGACTGAAAACTGGGCGATTCCAGAAAAGTAGGTCCCTGTTGTTTGAGGAGAGGAGAGGTTTTTACTAAACTGACTTGGAAGCAGCACAGTCTCAGCGGAGGCCATGGGAACGGGAAAACTCGGCAATTAGACCGAAATACGAAGGGGATGTGATTATACATACAGCGCATGCCCTAGTTACGCAACAGTGATAGAAGTATTTGAGGGAGAAGCTGCACAAAGATTCCAAATAGAGACAAAAAAAATTACACTGCACTGAGGTAAGGTTACACAAGGTTGAAGTCATGATAATTAGCTTACAATGTTTTGGTTTTGTCTCGGTGTTTCCCTAAAGAAAAGGTTCCCCAGTGCATATACTCATACTCACACACTTTTACATAATTAATACAAAATATTACTACAAAAGTTTCCTGATGGATAATGAGAACAAGCTTTTCTGTTTTAATAACAAAAAGAGCCAGGACACATAGGAGGTACTGTGTCTCTCAGCTGGCCCGGGAACACCTTGGGATTCCCTTGGACTAGCTGTTGGATTTGTGTGTGGAGAGGGAAATCGGGGCGTTATTAGACTGCTGCCTACGCAACCCAGCAATGGATAAAGCAGAAGAAGATGGATGGATGGAGCACCGTGGTCCCCAAACTGAACTCCTTACAACCTCCTGCACACCCAGAGGACATGCATGTAAACGACAAAAAATCTCTGGTCTTTGATAATGGATGCGAGAGGAACAGGGGGAGGGGGGAGGAGCAGAGGGGGGAGGAGCAGAGGGAGGGTGAGAGGTCAGGGGCCGGCCACAGGACCAGCCTCCATACATACGATGCACAAAAAATGTACTTTATTACTTCACAAACGCTAATGAAACACACGCGACAATAAGCGTTCCACCAGGGCGACCGCGAGGGCAGCTGACACCTTGGCTTTGTCCAGTCAAACGTTCCATTGCTTACGTAATCTTTAGCTGGTTTGAAAACACTGGGACTAGCTACAAAAATAAGTTAATTAGTAGGGGGAATGAGTTTTTAGAAGGATCATCCGTAGAAATCAACAGCATCATCACAAAAGTATTTGGCCAACAAAGGTTACATCACAGAGGTCAAACGTTTCCCATAGGTCTTCACCACGTTCTTATGGACAAGCTAGTATTTTGGCTCATTCTTCCATGCTGATGTTTTGGGGCGGTCGCTCGGCAGCACAGACTTTCATCTCCCTCTCGATATTTTTGCTTTGGGATGAGTTGTGGATTTAGATCAAACGTCCCATCCACTTTGAAGAAAAGCAGCCCCAAATCATGTTTCCACCCCCATGCTTCACAGTGGGTATGGTGTTTTTTTTTTTTACAAGATAGATAATTTATTTGTCACATACAATGTTAGCAACACGGCCAATAACATGTAGTTAAAAGACTAGTAACAACGAAACAACATGACGTCACATTCTGTCTTTGATTTCATTCATCATTCAGCAAATGTGTATACAAGCGGCATGATGGCTGAGTGGTTAGCGCTCCCAGGATTCGATGTCACCTTCGGACAGGGCCTTTCTGAGTGGAGTTTGCATGTTCTCCTCATGTCTGCATAGTTTTTTTCTGGTTTCCCCAACCACTAAAAACATGTACAGTAGCTCTCTCTGGAGCCAGGACTCCCCTGAAAAAGAGATTCTGAAATCTCAGTCAGACTTCCCTGGTTCAATAAAGATCAACTATGTGAATGGTGAGTTGGCCACTAGGAAATCACAGCTAATGTACATGTATGATGAAAAGGAAGGACCCCTCACTTTATCAGAAACTGCCAGATACACTGCAAAAGATGACAGAATTGACCAAAAAATGCTAAAATTTGGCTAAATGTATCTAAATTTGAGCACATTTTGACTGCCTTAAAACAAGATTTGCCAGTGGAACAAGAAAAATGGTCTTGTTTTAAAAAGATACAAGATATTTTTCTCTTGGAATGAGAAAATAAAGCAATAGTTCTTGAATCAAGTCAAAATTGCTTGTCTCATTGGCAAATCTCATTTTAAGACAGTCAGAATGAACTTAAGTCAAGTTAAAAAAAACTCGATTCTAGCAATTATGATCTCATATTTGATCATTTTTTGCAGTGTACAATACAATACTATTTATTCTTGTATAGCCCTAAATCACAACAGCAGTCATCTCAGAGGACTTAACAAAACCATTGAAATCACCATCACAGATCAGAGAATCAACAGTTAAAACACAAAATATACACATATATATTGGTCAGTAGGGAGAGACCAATGTCCAAATACCGTTTTACCGAACTGTATCTGTTAATGCACCATTGAAGTCTTAAATTGCAGATAAAAAAACACATATTTAAACAGTGCATTGGAAAACAACCTTTGATACTGTGACCACCCACGGTTCATGACTTCATTAGAACACGGCTCCTTTTGTCCTTCTCCCATGCACCCGAGAGGATCAGCGCTGCCGTGTCTCCTCTGGGGTTGTAGTATTTTTAGGCACAATTAAAGCAAAGCACCTTGGCCGACATGCTTCTGTTTGCGCAGAGGGAGAGATCCAGTTGTTGTCTCTAATCTTTGCGCTGCTCTGTCATTAGGCCCCGCCCACAGCCACAGGGATGACGAGCTCGTCCTTGTGGGGGACTGTGGCCTGAGGAGTTCAGTTCAATTCCATTTATTTATGTAGGGTAGTCGTCTTATAGTACTTTACAAATGTGTCGATTAGCCAACGACAGATCAGAGAATCAAACAACCCAGCAAATGCAAACAAAGAGATCAGTGAGAGAGAAACCAGAGAGAAACCCTCCTGCATCGATAAAAAAACGACAACAAACTAAAATAAACAATGAGAAAAAACTTGAGTATATGTGTTTATTGTTTCTGCAGATGATCCAGACCAGCAGGGCGGTGATGGAGAGCGCAGACGCCTTGTGCGACCGGATCCTGCACGTACAGAAAACAGGTAAACAAACTGCACTGGATGGCTACTGTTGGATTGTAAACATGGATTGGACTCATGTTTACATTAATTGAATATCTTTGAGTGTCTGTTTGGCACTGGTGAAAACTTGCCAACTGCACTTTTACTTAAAGGACTACTAAACACCAAATAAACTTTTTTTTAATCTAATAAACTGCATAAACATGTTTCTGTCCTGGTCAATTTTTCAACATTTTAGTGCAAATTAGATAAAATCTCACTTCTAAGCCGTCTGTGTGGCACCCTGTCCACATTTTTGTGACACTACATTGAAAACTTGTGCCTGGCCTCTCCATTGGCTCTAGAGTTCAGTGTGACTTCACTTTGTGCTGTGTCACGTCTGTCGCTCTGCGCCTGTGGTACAAAAGCAGCCAAGTCTTGCACGGTGTAGCGAGTTGGAGTGTTCTGCCAACATCTAGTGGTTTAAAATAAATTACAGAGCCACTATTGCTATATTTCAGCTGTCTAGATATACAATTATCTCAGTGTGTAAACAAGGGTGGAATGAGAATTTCTGGTGTGTAAACAATTGCTTTAAGCCAGCAGAGACAACTGTCTTGATATTTTATTGTCTGGACTGTGATTGACAAGCGAGCTGTCAATCACAGCCCAGAACACGCCCAACTCTAAGCCCCCCTTCTTGTCCCCTGGTCTGCAGGGCAACGCCCTTTTTAGAGAGAATTTTCAAATGTTCATGTGGTTTAGTTGTTCTTTAATACTTGCATTACTAGATCAAACCTAGCCTGGCCTTATCCATCTGTACACTCCGTTCAATCATCATTTCACTGCATGTAACGTCTGGGTCTGGTCCCTGTGTTAGCGAATACAATCGGTTGAATTTCGACCGACCAATCAGAGATCGCGGAAGGCAGGTGTTGTATTTATTTGTGGGTGATGTCAAGAGTTTGCGTCGAACAGGCAGGTTGTAGTTTGGTAATGGCGAAAAATGCGATAGTAAAGTAATCCGGTCTGGTTCTATCAAGAAGTTGAAGCCGGAGCAAGAGTAATGTTTAGCAAATGTAATCGCTGGAAAAAATTGTGGCGCTACTCCCCACGGGCTCCGTTAGCGGTGAAGGAGACGGCTAGGCTAAATGCTAACAACAGACTCGGTATACGTCACGGTAAACTCAGATCCACGTTTCAATCTGCAAAAGAAGTTAGCCCCTCCCACCTGTTCACGGAGTCAATGGAGCACCTCCAGACCTTAGTACGAAATGTAATGTGTACTATGGTGTGGTACGACCAGGCTAAATCAAACCATTTATTTTGTGGATCCTACTGAGTAGAGCCGAGTAGAGCCAAACAGAATATTCTAGGGCTGGTGGAAACAAGGCTTTAGTTGTGTGCCAACTGCATTGTGCTGATGAGTTTTTACTCGTTGCAGGTTTTCAGGGATTTAGTCTAAGCTTTTAAAATTATTAAGTGGTGACTATAACTGAAGCAGTGGTAACAGTACCTAAACGTGTCTCATGCTCGAACAGCTTCTCTTTGGATGGACTGGATGGAATTGTTGAAAGTAATGAGGCCCAGATCAGGGAGACGTCAACCAAACAGAATGTCCAATCTTGTTTAGAGCACACGTCTGTGCCTCGTGTTTGCTAGAGAGAGGTTTGTTGCCGCTCGGTCGCAGGCGGACTGCGATAGAAGGACAGATGGCGGGCGGACAGGAGCGCATTGATCCGTTTCCGTGGACACCGCACTGGTCCCAGCGGCGCGTTGGTTACGTGAGCACTGGTTCTGCTGAAAACTGGGTCAGAACAGGGAGATGGTCAGCTGTTAAACGAGAAGGGAGAGAGAGAGTGGGAGTCCAGTGTTCTGAACTCGATGCAGTCCACCTGCTGTGAACGAAGGCTGCACCTGGGGTTGTGTTTTTCTGCATCCACACTTGTTTGATCAGCTCGTCTTCATCGCTCAGCCATTAGAATAATCTTGGGTTGAATGTTTACATTTACCAAAACAAATACAGAAAAGGTTTCAAGAGCGAACTAGTTGTTACGAACTACGAGAAGAATTGAACTTGATGATACAGAAACACAGCTCAACACTGAAAAGTTTCAGCCCCACAGTGAATGGGGTTCAACTGTGGAATAAGTTGGAGCGGGAGATGAAACATAGTCCAAACATTAATGTGTTCAAATTTAAATACAAACAAAAGACTTTCGATAAATATAAAGAGGAGGAAATTATATGTCACTAGGGGGCGCAATCTGGCTAAAATAAATTGGTGTTTGTTTTTTTATTTTTTATTTTTTTTTATTTCTATTTTATCAACTTTGTTTTGTTGCTTATTATAGTCATTATGATCTTTATTGACCTTGAAGAGTGATGTTGCTTTAAACAGTTGCCATTATTTGTCGTTAATATTGCTGTTATCGTCTGTTCTTTCTTGTTTATTTTTTTACATTTGCATAGTTGCTGTTCTATGTAAAGTGTGTATATTTTCATGTAGTGTTTTGGGGGTGGACACCAATAAGCTTTTGCTTCGGCCCACTCCTTTTGAGCAGTACTTGTCTGCTCAAATAAACAAATAAATAAATAAAATAAATAAAAAATGTTCCTGGGATTGTTATGTCACATGGAAAACGTTCAAGCCCTGTTTCCACCTACTTTACACTACTAGTGGAGTAGAGAATCAGAATCAGAATACTTTTCAAAGCCATTTCTTTAAATTCTATTTACAAGTGCACACAATAAACGATTAGCAGTGCAGTGACTACAAAGGGCAGGGGTCAGTGATGGGGTATGTTCATGAGTCTGTCTGAGCACTGCCCTTATAGAAGGGTTTGGTAGGGTAGTGGTAATGTATCAGCCCGATGCAGTCTCCAGTGTGCACAAGACAATTAAAAACTAAAACAATATTAAAAGTACAGAAAAAAATCCAGACAAATGACACTGTGAAATTGATCAACTAAAACAGTTTCAATACAAGTGCAAGATTATAGATAGTGCAAATAAAACACTGATAAAACTGCATTGCTTTAGATCAGGGGTGTCAAACCAGTCTTCAGAGGGCCGGTGTGGCTGCAGGCTGGAGCAACAACACATCTGTGACTGAAAGCCTCAAATGGCGAATGAAGCATCACCTGGCCAACGCTAATTATTGTGCTTTTTGTTTACTACTTATTCTCATTCTAGTAATCTGAAGACTGACGCACGGCTTCCTCACCACACCAGACTTCCTGTTTAGAACTGTCATATCTGCATGTTTTAGTTACGGAGGCCCCAATCCAGCTCATTAATTGGTTTTCTGTGTCTCTGGCCAGTACCAGTGAACTGAGTGGTTAGCACTTCTGAGTGCTGTTTGCATGTTCTCTCCGTATCTGTGTGGGTTTCCACCAGGTGCTCTGGTTTTGTCTACCATTAAAAACATTTCCAATAGCTCTGCTCTCTCTGGGGCAGGACTTAAAAATCTTCCTCTCTATAAATGAGATTTTGGCACCCCCTTCAAATTAAACCTTGATCCTGTCAGAGCTCTGAAGCTAAGCAGGCCAGGGCCTGGTTAGAACTGTAATGGGAGACTTCTGGGAACACCAGGTGCCACAGTGGGGTGGCTGTAAAGTGCCAAACTGTGGTTGTGTCCTTAGGCAAGACAAGACTCGTCTGTTGGGACAAACAAAATGATTATTAGGAATTCATGAATCAAGTGTTCCTTGATAATGAGTATCGTTCCATCCGTGAGATCAGCCTGAGTGTTCTGTGAGGAGGTAACCACAGAGATGTTACGAGTCAGCTCTGTGTAAGAAAGACCCAGTCATTCACAGCAGTGTAACAGCTGACATCACTCTGTTAAAAGAACAGTCGTTTTGACACTTTGGAGCCGAGAGACGGATTCCCCGCTCCACCGCCTCCGCCGCTGCTGCACACATGACTTGCACAATTAAACACACTGTCACTGTTTCCTAGCAACGACCCGCGGAGAATCCAAACAGCAAGAGATTGCCTCCCTCCCATCCCCAGAGCCGAGGGTGCCAGACGAGAGCATACATGCACACTCCCCAAGCTCTGAACGCTTGGAACGCACACAAACATGAACACAAACCTCCAACTGGTTCTGTCTTTTTTACCTAGATGTAAATAATAAAAGGAATGAGGTCAGATTAAAGGAAAGGTCAGTCACTTTTCTGTTGGTGAAGATAGAGAGACGTACTTCAAATGCTAGCCCCAGTTAGACCTTCCCCCACAGCTTCTTGATGAGACATAATTAATTCAATAATAACGATAATAATAGTAGTAATAATAATGATGATTATGAATACTTATTTTTATTATTATCGATTGGTTTTATGAAATTATTTATTCACTCCAAACACGGTGGTGACTGCCCTGGGACACACTGACAGAGGCAAGGTAACCAGTCTGTGTCATCCCCCCCTTCCCCACACCTACATATTTATTATGAAAAACACATCTAAATGATTCTACAGGGTCATAGGGTCAAAAATATGTTTTAGAAATTAAATATACTTTTCCCTTTTCTTTGTTGCTTCATTTCACTTTCACTTCACTGTTGTTTGTTACCTGTGTGTACATTTTCAGTAAAACCATTTCAAAATAAACATCTTTGTTTATGGTTGTAAACAAAACAAAATGTGCAAAAGTTCAAGCTGTATTCAGTTTTCCTGACTATTTAAAACAATATTTATAATGATTCCTTTTCAATCCTCCTACAGTTTGCGTCATGCAAATCAGTCCTTTTTTTCAGTCCCAAGATTGAAAAAAGAAATCGGGAAACATGCATTTAAATTTAAAGCCCCGTCTGATTGGAACAGTTTGCCCTCATCTGTTCGCTCTCTGTTCTCTGGCTCAGTTTAAGAATGCTCTTGTGCCAAATCTCCAAAATCAGTGTCATTGTTTCTGATTTTGGGTTACATAATCCTATGTTTACTGCCTTTAATATTAATAAGTTTAGTATTTTCACTATTTATTGTCTGCATCAAATATATTTACAACTGTGTGTGTGTGTGTGTGTGTGTGTGTGTGTG